ACGATCCGTAGAGAGATAAAAATATTTATGGAAGATAGAAGATTGAGAAAACTCATAGAATTAAATCCAACACTTGGTAAGTGGTGGGAAAATTTCACCACCGTACGGCAAAGAGTGGAGATCATTTTTTGGCAAACACGTAGTAGGTAATTATGAATTATTCGATAAGTGAATGAACGGCTGTAATAGAAGGGCTAGGTAAATCTAAAGTCTAGAGGCTGGAAACTGCCTCGGCCACGTTCGCTAAACGCTCTCTCTCTGTTAATGTACGAATCCACTTAGGCGCGCCCCGCCACGTCTGATTAGATTAATTTTAAGAAGCCCTGCTACTGCCTGCCTACTCGGTTGCCTCTTCGCGATATTGCGTTCGATGCTATGCGCTGCATTTTCCAGTCGCGCAATCCACCAGAAAACATAATCTCAAGTATACATAATTATTCATCGATCGAAAATATATAATATTCATTGAGATTTCATTCCCAATGTTATCGTTTCGAGTAACGAAACGAATCTTACGTTCTTACTAATCTGTAAATTAGTGATAAGATTTGAAAAATGATACTGTAAGAAAATTGAAACGGTTGAAACCGTTTTCGAGACTGACAGCTAAATTAGCAGCTAATACGTTGATAATAATATTGTTTGAACGTAATAGCTACTAAATAGCAACTCGGGAAAGAAAGAAAATTGCCAGTGTGAAATCGCTGCTCTTAATAACAATAAACCTTTTCTCTTAAATGCATCAATCGTTGTGAAAAATCTGGCAGATATAATCCTCGTCCTACATCGTCCCGGCCTTTCTTCCTCTGCATCAAAATTAATAACGCGCATTTTGCACAAAGGGTGGGCAAAAGGATTCGTCGGGACCAGCGCGCTCGTATAAAAGGCAAAAAGCGGTGCAAAGACAAGAGCTATTTTAACGTGAAAGCTCATTTACGAACCGCCGTCGCTGAGAGGCGAGGCTAATGGCACCGAATAAATTATCGTGTGTCGTTCAAAGGCACGAGGAATGCCAAGACAAGACAGGATTCGACGATTCTTAATCTTTCGACGCGAATCTTTCAATCGTATTGCGTGTCGGTCGTAATTAATCACGTGGAATTAATTGTAGCCGATCGAGGACCGTGAAAAACACCTCGAAACGATTTGCCAACGATAACCGCGAGAGGCTGCAGGTTCCTCGTTTCGACTGTCTAATTAGTCGAACGTTCGACTAATTGCCTTTGGTCTCTGGTCACCGACGAGACGTTAAAACACCTGGCGATATCGTGAGATTGATTTTTAATTAATATCTATATCGAATTTTATGGGAGAGCAAACGTGACGAAGTGAAACAGCAGGCAATACGATTAATTGAACATTCGAATTATTGGAATTGCTTTTACGTCACGGAGATAGTGGCTTTCTTAATGGCGTTAGAAATTGGTAAAAGGAAATGTAAAAGGAAATGGTAAAAGAAATGTAGGGCACAGCACTTTGTAGATTGCAAGAGGAAACGGCATCGATTGAGTGTTCAGACTGCTGGAAATATTTTTATTTTACGAAGGTAATCTTCTTCTATAGCGTTAGGAGTCTATGGAGAAGGAAATAGGGAGCATCGTGATCGATGACAGCGATCGGCTATTTGAAACGTTCGAATTATTTATATTTTCGGAAGATGATCGTCTCGAGTGGCGTTAAACGAACCCGAATGACGTTTCCTTTGCGTTCCTTTCATTCTATGCTAATTGATTCTAGGGAACAGTGATCGAAACAATAGTAATGGTAACGAAGATTGAGTGGACGAATAAACAGGATCAAAGGATTGCTTCTTTTCCTTTTTTAACAATGCTGTTACAGATTGGAATTTATGTGCGTCTGGCTTCCGCGAATTAAACTGTGCGTTAACCGTATGTTAACCTTAGACGGTGGTGGCCCATGCTGGCTAACGATTCCTGTTAGTTACGCAATTATCAATTATCTTTGACTTAAGAGGAAAGATTAAGGAAACCATTCTCTACTCTGTTTATTTATTGTCATTGTTTATGATTTCTTTACCAACATTGCGTCTTTGTACATTTGTTTGTACATTTGAATTACGTTTCAACGAACAAGAAGACAAAAATTTCGCAGGTTCGAAAACGACAAGAAAATAAGAGAAATTACTTAAAAATACGAAGATTCGCAGACATTTTCCCCAAAACATCCCCAGAAGATCGAAAGGAAATATCGCTATATCAACAACGATTTCATTTCTTCCTCAAGTACAATATATTTTCTAATAGAAAGACGAGAAAATCGAGTGTCTAACGCAACAGGCTTACAAAAAGATCAGTGGCAATTTACAATATACACTAAATAGATTAAATAGAAAAAATAGTAATAGATTAGAGAATAGTAAGGAAATAGTAGGAAAATTATTATTATTATAGTAGTATAGTAGTTATTATAGTAGGAAAAAAGATTAGATAGGATAGTGTGTATTATATAGGCCAAGGAAAAATTAAATTATACATACGTTTAGGTGTCGATATTAAACATAAGATGGGACACGTATGTTTGAAAGGTGGGTGTAGATAAGCAAAAATCTTCCAACGTATGCTCTAAATAAATTACGAGAACCAGTGAGAGTCAGAAACTCGTAAGCCAAATCCTTTTCCTGCGCTGTGAGGCCGAAGAATAAATAAAAGATATATTATATATATTCTTTTTTAAGATTTTTGCTTATCTACAAGCACGTTTCATCTTATATCTAATACTGACACTTAAACGTATGCATAATCTAATTTTTCCTTATAGTTGCGTATATATATACAACTCATACTGTCATCAGCCTGTATAAGAAACGTCTTTGTCTCGGCCGAACTGATATTAAAATTCCCCGGTTGCCAGAGTCCGTCAGAAAAACGTCCCGCCTTTCTCCGAGCAACTTCCTTTCCCCGGTCGAAGGCACGGCGACCTTAGTTCCTCGGCATTTTTCCAGCTCCCTGACCCTGCAATTAGCCGGTCAGCTCGTCGGTCAGACTAATTGATTCGTCTGCCGGTAACCTTCTCGAAGACTACGGCTGCAGAAGAGGGTAGCATCGCGAGACTTTAATCATTGCTCTCCTCTGGCCAACTTCAGCCGCAATTTCCGACACGGCCCGAGGCCGCGATATTAACTTAAGACGACGACGGACTTCCGTTCGCCACGGCGAAACAGCCAGGACAGGGTGGTGGATTAACGCGCCGTCCACAATTTTGGTAATTAATATTCGCGCGACGCCGCTTGAATTCCTCGTTTATTAGCCCGCGGATGGTGGCTGAGGGACGATCTTGTACGTAATTTGTAATTTATTCCTTTTTCACCGGGTCCTGCCCCGGCTGTATATCAAGGAGCAAGAGGGGAAAATTCTTTTTGAGGGTTGCAGGTGGTCGTAACGTTTTTGAGCGAGGGGCGAGCACAATCGGTGGACCAACGGTTGCGTACAGCGTAGAACGACGGAGATGAAGGACGTTTAGTGGTTAAGAAGCTGGTGGAGCAGGGTATTAGGTACTAGAAATTAGACCTGGGATGCTTCTACCGAGCGTTGGCAAGCTTTTACAGCGAAAATGGAAGCTTGTAGTTTGCTTTAAAAATGCAATTCTAAGTGGTCGGTGAACGAGGAACGTTCCTTTGCCGTTGCAAAGTACAATCGAGGAGTTGCTGCGGAGTATCTGCTAAAATCGTGTTCCGGAAGTTTCAGTATTCAGAGTCAAAAGTTTCTTTCGTTTACAGAACCGCGATATCTACGAGAAGCCTGTAAAATCGATAGCGCGTCAAGTTCGCTTTTCACGTAGGCTAAAATGACATCAGAGAAGGCGGATCTTTTACTTGCAACGAGAAACGATGAAACTTTAGATAAATGATTTTGCAGCCGCTTTCTCCGCATATCGAATTTTCTCGTTACGTTGGTGCATTCAAAGTAATTGCATTATCTTGAAAGTAATTACACCTATGTGTTACAATATCTTGTTAAATGCATATTGCAAGTAGATAAAGTAAAGTAAAGAAAGTAGATAAAAACGGAGGTAGAAGCGTCTCAAAATACAGAGAAAGATTACATTTGTGGCTTAGCCCGATCCGACGTTGTATCGATAATGGAAGAAATATCTATAATATGTTTTGCGCGTCGAAAATTTCAATTTCGATAATTCTTCGTCATTTTACAGCGTCAATTCTGTTGCTAAACTAGCGCGACTTCGCAATGCGCTAGGCATCGAAGTTATGGCTATTATTGAAGGCACGGAAGATGCATCAAAAGAAGAAAGTTTCTTCAAAAGGATTAGGACGAAAATCGACAAAAATTGTCCGAAATGTTCGAAAGTAAAAGACTCGAATATCTTCAAAAATGTGGTCTTCCGTGGTTTGGAAGACATCAAATCGAAATAGAATTTTTCTCGAAAAACGCGCACTTCGTTTAATTCATTTTCCATCCAACGTTGCTTGGAATTTAGACGCACGTATGGTAAAGCTCGTAGGCCGTGAAATCGCGATAATCGGAAGAAGGTAACATCTCGAGAAACGGGCGTAATCCGAAGAGCTGCTCGAACGATGATCAAACCATCGCGTGATTCGCACGATCGCGTTTAAACCGGTGTAACTTCTCGAGTAACCTGGTCGTTTACACCAACGAAGAGCAAAGTTATTTACGTCGAATTCGCAACGACCGTCACGTTGAATTCGCCCACGTCGCGTTTCGAGAAAGTCGTCTTTTCGAACAGACGTTAGGCCCATAACGATCCCGAACGATCGTGTTTTCCCGCCACCCTTCGCCTTCAAAACATTCTTCGACGTTTCCAAGCCGTAGCTAAAAGTCCAATGGCCGTACGTGCCCCGAAATAATCGCGTAAGCGAACGCCGGCCAACTCCATCCACGGAATTCCCGATTCGGTCACGTGCGGTTCGCTCGAATGCCTAACGATTGTCGTCGGTTGTTGCTGCACCGCACGCTCGCGGTGCATTCCCAATACACCAGAGCCCCGTCTCTCTCATTGCCAACCCTCTTCCGGTCTAATTTCGCTAATGATCCAGTTTTTCAAGTTCCCCTTGCTCTCCTAATTTTCTGACTTTTCGCTTCCTTCTTCGTCGAGCCACGTTCGAAGTCTCTGGAACGCGCGACTCAAAAATTTTCTCTCAGCCTCCGGGATCCGAGCGTAACGACCACAAAAACGAGCTATCCCTTAAACTGTGTCGTCCTTAAACTTGCCTCGTCGTCGAAAACGACAGTCGTTGCGCCAACTTTAAGTTCTGTTCTTCGGAATTCAAAGAACTCTCCTTCGACTCTTGGGTTTCTTCGATTCTCGCGACTGTAACTGGGAGTTCAACCTCGAACGCTCGTCGATAGATCGCAGATTTCCGTCGTAAACGTGCGAAGATGTAGAGAAGACGCGCGCAACGTGGGAAGATACGCGAGATTCCCAAAGTACTTGGTCGTAACGCGCAAAGAGCGAACGAAATCTCCGCTCAGGCTCGATTTCTCAAACTGGCGGTGGTGAAAATTTTAGATTCGCGTAAGAATCCGCGGTGCTGCTCATCCACGGGTATAAAATGGGTAAAGGAAGAACGTGACCGGTGATCTCTCGCGGCGACCGCTTAAATTATCGGCAGCCTGTTACATTAGCAGGTCGAACCGGTCCGCGGTTGCAGGATATAATCGGCGTTCACCGGTGTTTATCTATTAATTATTAATTTATCCGGAGGGAATGAATGGGAGGAGCAGCGGGTTAAAATAAAGCGCTGTTAAAGCGTCCGGCAGCGGTGTCCCGGCCAATTATAAGAGGCCACGGAAATTATTCGACCGCTCTTGGCCCCGCGGGTTAACGATCTGTCGCCGGTGTTCAGTTTGTCCGGGGTTATTTAATACGCGTTATTTCATACGCGCCACGGCTATCTCGCATTAATTCCGCGCTGTTAGTGGAACGCGACGCTGTGGGATAGCGCGGAATAAACATTGTGGCAAATTCAAATTGCCACGGTGATTTGGCACTGGCAAGCTGAACATTTCTAATGGCCATTTGGAATGTTGCGTAATCGCGAATGTCAGGATGCACCGAGGATGCGTACGAGTACGTGAAGCTGTGCGCCAAAGTTTCCGGACAGTGACAGATTTTTCACTTTACATTCGAGAAGACTTTCGATTGTCTCGTGGCAAGCAAATAATTGAAGGAAATTGCAATTTTCTACGGGCTGTCCGATTTTTATTTATATGTGCGAATTACTGGTGAACTGTCCGTTATATAGAAAAAATGGCTCGGACAAGAGGTCGAGGTAACTTCCAGGTGATTACGATCTGGTGTAACTATTTTACCCGTGAATGGACGCACAGAGATAGCACGAAGGTAACGTACGTTTTCTTAAATGAGGTGATATAATTTTTAATGCACGTTTGCGTTAATTAAACTACGCGTTTGCCCTGTATTTCGTATGGCGCTGTTTCACGAGATAAAAGTTGAAATATCTGGTAAATAATTTTTTATACAGAATATCAAGAGACGTGCGTCACCCTCGTACAATCTCTACTTGTCCATCTGCAGAAAAATTAATTACACCAGATTATCTCGCTCTCGAAACCATTCAATCTCTGTCGCAATATTTCCCATATATAGCAGATACTTTAACAATTCTCATTTATAGATTAAAATTAAACACCGTGTATACTATATCAAGAAAGTTCTTAAAGGAAATTTACGGTGTTTCATGTTCTACGATCCATTTGAATACGTTCGATTTAGATTCGGCATGAAATTTTCTACTTTTATCTGTTCGACGATACACCAGCACCTTTTAAACGATAAAAGAATTTCAGCAATTGATATACATTGGAGAATAAGCTAGAAGTTCTTAAATGATAATGAAGAAGTGTTTCTCAACTGTTGCCGGTAATACGAATGATTTCAGAGAAATTGTAATTTTGTGTGATATTGATATAATTCATCCATATGGAAGGTCCAATATCTACATACATTTACATTTTATTATAATTATACGTCGATTAAATAAATAGCCGATACATCAGGCATAATTACCAGCCACTTTAATAATCATGAAACACCGATTTTAGTCTAACGTTATAATACAACCTACATGGTGGTCATTCGAGCGAAAAAACAGGATGCAAATTAATCGGCCACCGGATGACGAAGCATTGGAATATTCGAATGAAAATGAGACGCTTAATTTCCGATAATGACACCGAACGAAAACGATCGTGCTGTTGCATATTGCATTCCGCATAGGCTATTTGCATCGCTGCCGGCTTGTTCCGCTCGCAACACTCTATTTTAGCGCGCGTTGGACCAAGGGAACGTTTAATCGATAAATGCTTATAGATTATCGTGCTCCAGTAAAGTACCCCCCTCTGCAATCGCGATAAGGCAAGCCGGCGATATGTAATCTGGCCGCGAAATCTGCAAATTCGCCGATGCGACCAGTTAAAATTTAATTGAAACCCTCCTATGAACCTGGCAACTTTATTTAGTGACCTTCGATCGGTAACGTTGCGTGGAACGATTATGGCAATCGGTTATCGTAAATGAATTACACGCGCAACGGTACGAGTCGATTTTTTCCACACTGCGCGAGTTACAAGTATAACTGGTTTTCGTACGGTTGAAATTGCTTAAGTTTTAATAAAGCGATTAAACAAAATATATCCTACTTGCAACTATGGCGGCTCGCGAAAGTATTTTAACGGTTACCGTGGAAAAGTTTCGCGCGTATATCGCGTGTGTTGTACGTAAGACCGTTTTAAGATATCGTTGACACGTACCAGACACCACCGTGTCTCTGATTATTTTCCTGAAATCTGAAATCTGAAAATTTATGTAGAAAATTACCGCGCATTTAAATATGCGAACATATTACATTTACTAGAGAAAGCACGAACAGTGGTTTGAGACATACTAAATGATATTTAGGTGTATTAATGGACCATTGATTACCATGTTCGCTGGTTGTGCTCGTAGGGAAAATTAACAGGGTCGATAGAGAATTAAAGGAGACGAACAAAGAAGCTGATTTCTTCTAAATATTCATTGGCAGAATTCTGACTTGAGAAAATAAGTCAGAGCGATCTTTAGAAACGAAAGTAAGTGAAATCTACAGAGGAAGGCTAATAGGTTGAGCGTCAGAGACCTTGTCGAGTATAATTCCGAAGAGTATGAGAAAATCATCTTTGTTTCCCCGATTTCATATTATGTTATTAGCAATTTTGTCGAACGGCTGTCTCAATCAGCAGGCGATACGCGAACGTGACTAAGGAAGAATCAAGTCTAGTGAGAGGTAAACGCGATAAGACTGACAGCGAGATTAATCTGACCGCGGAATCTGGCTTCGTTTTAATAGAATTTCATTGAGGAGAGGCTGGCTGACGTGAGTGCACCCTGGGATGCAACTCGACCTCCATGTACCTATTAACGCAACGTGGATTTATATCCGACTCTAATAACGCGGTAATTACGTGCTGCCTTTGTTGTCGAGTTCGATTAAAACATCGGTACCGAGAGGAGCTGATGTTGCAGCGGAGCAGCGCGTTTCGCAGGTAATTAGCGCGTTAAAATTTCGTTAGGGAACGATTTTCTCAGCTGCGACACGAGTTTGACGCGATAGCTAGAAGATTGTTTTCTTGATTAAAAATTTCTTTTCGCACTGCACTACGAGATATTTGGATGATTTAAAAGTATGAAAACGAGAGATTCGAGCGAATGGAAATTATTTGTTCGGATAGAATCTCGCAAACCAAGTCCATTTCTTAGTAGTGAGACTGGAAATAAAGAATATTCTTTTTAACGTAAAAGTAACGATATAAATTATTGTTCGAGGAATAATGAGCGATTCGACGAATGAATTAATACGATTTATTAATAATATGATACGTAGAATACGTGTAATGTATACACAGTAGAAACGTAATGGGCTATTAAAAACAGCCAATCGTTGGATAAACAAATTATCAATTTCGCGATATTTAACAAGCGAAATAACACAAATTAACTCGTTCTACCCGTTCGTTAGCAGGTTAAGCGTTTTAAAATGTGCGTATAATTGGCTTCATTGCGTATGCGCGTACTGTCTTCTAGCGACAGGCGAAAAAGATAAAGAGCTTAAAATTCCCTGAAATTCATAATATTCATCGTAGTCTGAATAACCGATAACAATCTATTTCGCTCGTGAACTATATCGTTCATTTTACATTCAATAACGTTTATTATTAATATCGCCGTTGCAAACTATCGCGTACTTTTCTCGATGGAGAAAAATCGCGATACGATAATGTTTCCGCCGTTCCATATAAGCTTGGCGCTTGGAACCGGTTACGAGTACGAAATGCACTTTATTTTCCGATATTTGCATACAACCGTCGAGATCGTTATTTCTCAATTCCAGTTGGCACAACGTTGCCGAGGGAAACGGAAAAGCAGAGAGAAAATGGGTTAAAAAATCTGCCGCCACATTAACGATGACGTAACGCGCATGCGCGCCAATTGGACGCTGTCGCGCGAAAAATTGGCGAAAATTCGAAAGAGAAATTCTATTCTCCCAACGAGGAACCTTCGACTTTCGTAAACCTTTACGCGTCTATGAAAATTTTCTAAGTTCAAAGACTCACGGAACGCGCATAATACGCGCAAATATATAAAATATGCAAAGTTTATCACATATTGTAATATTTGGTAAATATTAGGTACTGTTACTTTATTAATTTATAAATACGTGAAATTACATAAATGTCCGTTAACAACTTATCGATAACAAGTCAGGTATTCCCTTCAGACGAGAGAAGCTACTTTTCTCGAAGAGCACCGCCGAAATCATTTTCGTGTATCAAGGTCGTTTTACGATAAGCCTTCGAGAGATCGAAAATGTAAATTCCAATCGGATTCGAACGTAAACGGCTTTAGGCTCGTAAAAAAGTCAATTCATTGCAGCTGGCAACGTGGAAAGATACAACGAAGAATTCGCGGGAAACTGGAACCCTTTGGCCACGTCGATGTCGCTTAACCTCCAATTAAGAGAAATGACTTGAATTATATTATAGGTTAGAGCCGTAAAATACGTGGATAGCGGGCGGACGTGAAACGAATAAATCGACGAGAGCGTTTCCACGTAGTCGGCAAATCGCTCTCATCTTTACGATCGTTCGTACGCACGAATGTTTAAAACACACCATTTCCATGTTGGAATTTCGCTGCGTTAAGTACGTTCGCGCTCGTCGGCGATGTACTGGGTGCACTGAAAATCGTGGTACAAGCCGAAGGATGGCGATTCTCCGCGCAAAAACAGATCGAAAACGTAGAACGACAATTTTCGATACAACGCTTCGTTCTCGAGAAAATCAATTATCAAGTTTGATGCGGTTGGCGCTCTTACGTTTCGAGTGCACACGCACCCGACCAAACTTCATCGTCGATTTTCTGGAAAACGGAGCCTCGTATCGAAAATTCTTGTTCTACGCATTTCACTTACTTTTTCATGAATAATCACTTCACGGCTTGCAGCAGGATTTTCAGTTCACCCTATACGTGGAAACGGGAACGAAAGCTTCGCGTTTCTAAAGTTCGATCGCGTCGTTCGTATTTATGCGTTACGGGGGGAGGGGGTGGGAGAGGGAACAAAGTTTACTCGTACAGTGACAGTCAACACAGGTATACCGATCCACCGCTAATTACTGTTCGTAATCAGATGTCTGACCAACGTAGCAGATTGGCTAGTTACCAGTTGCGCCAATAGTCAATACCGCGGATCGATCACGAGCCACGAACCAACTACAATTGGTGCGTTGATATCCTCAAACAATTTACGTTGATTTCGGCTTGCACACCGCCCTCTATACAATTGCATTATGTTTTATCAGTGTTCCTAGGGAATTTGCATTCCGCCGATCCGCCGACATACAATGTGTCCTTTGGTGTTTAATCGTTTGTTCGATTTTCCTTCTGCAAATAGAGAAACAATTTATTTCGTCGTAGCAAAATATCGTATACGGTTGTTCCTAAAAATATTCAAACACTCGCCATAGAAAATTTTGACGGATATATCGTTCGTGCAATGTGAAGCAATCGGAAGTTTCATCGTGACTTGAAAGCAATTTGAAAATGTATATACAAGCTAGAGGATATTTAATAGAAATATATATATCTCTGTCGATTAATAAGTCGATTAATCTTCGTACCAATTTCTTCATTCTTGTTGGTCGTATCGTATTCGACATTTACATATTCTTCTCCATTTCGAGGTAGAATTGAAAAGAAATTCGATAGGGCGTCAAATTTATAAAACGAATATGATTTTCTTACAACGAAGTTGAGAATTCTAACGATACGATAAACCAGCTGGAATCAGGACGCTATATACAGTTGCCATGCACTTGCCATGAAAATCACTTCGAATGACAAACACGTTCGCTTAACGGAATGAATATCTTCGAACTAACTGCGGCAATTTTTCTCCGCGTCTCTCGTACCAGTTACAGTTAAGAAGCACTAATACCACCTACCAACGCGTCAATCTATCACGCCAACGTTTCTATCACGTCTGTTAAAGTCGCCAATCCATCAACGTACGAAACTAAGTTTTGCCCGCCGAAAAAGAAATCCAGCCGAAAGTTGCTCTATTACGAGGCGAAAGTTTATTCGAAGTTCTGCCCGCTTCTAACAACCGGAACATCCATCCGGGAACCATCGGCATACCAATTTAGCGAACTCCCCTTAAACTTCCGGCTCCTAATAACCGGCCGGTGTTTACGAAGCTGGGTACACACATTGGCGCGAGGAGCACGCGTGGCACGCCTTCACGATGATGAGAGGAATAACTCATTAGCTTTGTAACGTGGCGGACCACGCGGCCCGATACCGCCCTGAATTATACGGCGAATTACATTAATACCGGATAACAGAGATTCCCGGGGTGCGCGCTGTAGGATCACTCGCACGCGCGTCGGTACATCAGCCCGGAACACCGCGCAGCGAGGACCGCTGCGGGGCCAAGTTCTCGCATAATTTTCGAATAAAGTCGAATATTTCCCTAGCTCGAAGTGGCACGGTAATACTCCTGCGGAGAGGTTGCGCCCGCGGTGTGTAAGTTGTAAATCTTTGAAGTGGCTTTCGCGCTGTGAGTAAAGATTCCCCGACCAGTTGCGAAGTTAGAAGGAGACGGCTATAGAGGAAGAAAGCGGCAACGTATTATAGAAGAGAGTTTTCTTCTTTTCACCCTTCTTCTGCCGAGGTTTCTCTACTTATTTCTACCGAAGAGGAAGAAGATAAAAGGTCCAACTTTAATATTAAGGCAATAAACCGGCGCAGTCTCGAATTCTTCCGGGCAATATATCTTCGGCCATGACATCGTGTTCCTTCTGGTAAACGTTGCTGCTAGAGTCCGCGAGTGCTTTTCTTACTCGCGTTGAACTCTGCCTCGAGGAGCAAGGGCACCGAACAAGTATTGTCCTTTGTCGAGTATCTCGTTAAATCGTTACGCTGTTGCCGAGGAAATTTCTCAGGGCCAGTGTATCTTTATTCTTCGATTACTTTGTCAGTTGGAAAAAGGAAATGTCCGTCGAGATTATCTGTTA